CTCTTTCCCTGCCAGTGAGAAGGCCTCTAGTAGTTTCCAGTCTGAAGCAGAGCTTTCAAATGTGTAAAAAAACTTCCTGAGGATTACTTCAAGTTACTAGTTATCATTTATCGTGAAGATGCCTCTCATTCCTGACAAAACACCTATAATGAAATTCTCACTCCTCTTTCTCAAATCTTCCCTGCACTGAAAATTTTTATACGTTCTCACACTCTTGTACTATATAAAGGCCCTGTACATCTGCACCCACCTCTTCCTTTTTCTGTTTTAAATCTTTTTAGAACTTAAATGCTCCATGTTGGAGTTGTTCTAGGACACGATCTTGCACCCATGAAACTGACACAACTTCTCTGAGTTTTAGGGATGTAGGAATGATCTGAGTAACTGCCAGCTATATCTGTATAGATGAGTGAGAAAAATGTACATAAATACATAGCCAGGTGAGGAACATCCTCTCTCTTTACTGAGGAGGGAAAAATGAGATGAAAGGGATTGCATGTCAGCCCAAACATCCAGCTTCGTGGTGTAGTTGCTTTCTCAGAAACATGTACCTTATCTCTCAATGAGATACCCAGTTCTGTAATTCGTGTTATGTTCTTTACTTCTAATCACAAATACTAGTCTGGAAACTTGCTCACTGTAACACTTGCCAAAAGAAGCAATAATGCAAAGAATGGAGATGGCAAGCACAGAGAGTGTTCTCTATGGTGTGGGAGTGTGCACAAGAAATTGTGCAAGTGCTCTGATGATGCCTTTATCAGTGAGGCCTGACAGAAAATTTGCAGACTTGCAGAGAATGAGTCTTTTTTCAGGAAGCTTTGTATAAGCCTGCAAGTTGTAGCTGGCACATTGCTAAATATTACCCTGCCAGGTTTTTTTCTCCTATTTCAGTGATTGTGTTGGGAAATGTGTTAAATCTTATGTAACCATTTTCCTTGGAGGAAATGGGGAATAACCAGAACTTTCTCCTAAAAAAGAGGAAGACCTGAGTCCATGTTATGCCTCAGAACTTAGCAGTTTTGTTGTTGTTGTTCTTAAATGGGGAGTGCCTCATTTCCTTGCATTCCCATTTTCCTTTGAGCTAACAACTTTTCAACAGGCATATAGCTCAAAGAAAAAGATCTTGGAATCCTATTTAGGAGTGCCAGATGTGAGTTTTTGTAACATAAATAGTAAATACTATACGGTTATGACGAACATGAGACTTCCAGCTATATGAAGTCTCCTGAAGTATTTCCAGTCATGGCAAAAGTGTAGCATTATAGGAGAGCAAAGAAAAATTAAACAAACCCCAAACAAAAAGGACTAGCACATCTGGATCTTAGATGTCTTCCGTTCCTTGCAGCTTCTGCTCTGCTTGTCCACATGACTGAGTGGACCAATAAAGCCTGTAGCAGAACTATGTTCTGTCTCATTTTGGGAGAGGGAGGAACAGGAAATACTTGGCCTCCTTGTGGAAGGCAAGCAAATTCCATGTGGAACTATATTTAAACTTGGGTCAGGTCTGACCAGATGTTGGAAATGTTGTCCGTATAACAGGGAAAAAGGGGATCTGCATGAAAAGCTTCAGTTCAAAGGGCTATTTGCTCCTCTGTACCTTTGCTAGGCTGCATGCTTGGCCATTTACAATATTGTCCTTTCTGCATAGCTATCAGGTCAGATTTACAGCTGTGTCAATATGATCAAGTATAGCTGTGCTGACTTGCCTCATATTGGCCTTCAGCTGATTTCTGTGTCCTAAAACATGGGTTAGAATCAAATGTCAAGTAATTAAAAAATACCACATTTTGAGTTTGAACCTTAGCCTGAGAAAGTTCAGTTCTTTCCTGCTGTGACTTAATTGCTAAATAAAAACAGCTACTGAGCAAGAGGTTGTGTATTAAAGTGTGAGTGTGTGGCAGAGGTCCTTGCACTAACTGAGGCATGCTTCTAAATGAAGATATATAGTATTATTTAAACCACCATCTATGGCTTTATATCATAATGTGCTTCAATTAGTAGAAACAATCACCTGTCAGTTTAAGATTAAGGGACTTGGAAACCCCAGGAGGTTTTGGCTTTGTGGCTTAATGTTGAAGAGCAGTTTGTGCTCAGCTCAGGACTGACTCTACTTCTCCTTAATGTATTCTCTAAAGGGTGTTATTTAGTACTTCATCAGAATAAGACAGTTTTTCAGTAGGCCTGTGGGTGGTTTTTTCCCTCTTGTAACTCAATACACAATTGAAGAAATCTCTGAATTTAATTTTTTTGTCTATCTGGCTTACAGGATTTACATAATTGGTTGCTCATGCAGCATTTCTCTATTATTCTTTGTGATATTTCTATGCTCTATGAAATGTCTTAGTAATTTTCCAGGGACTGTTTTAGCAGCAGTTCTGTGCATGGTCTTTAAACTGATAGCCCTTACACATGAATTATTGCAGTGTTATCAGGATGGAGATGCAAGTCAGTGAAAGGAAAGCAGAGCTTCTGAAACTAACTGATGCTCTAACAACTCCAAAACTTCCCTGGAGCTCTACCTCTTTATTTTAAAATCAGCCTAAAGAGATGATCATGATGTAAGAGGGATTTCAAAATAACCATTTAAGATACGTGGGTATTACAGTCCAGAGGGATGACTATAGCTCTTCCAGACATACCGTAACTACCTTTGCGCTACCTGTGTTATGGCAGAAGGGACCTTGGGGTGCCCAGGCTTACATGGGACCAGAGATGCCTGATTTTTGGGGGCAGCTAATGCCACTGTAAACCAACTAATGCAAGTCTCCATCAATTGACAGTTTTACTGGCATGAACTGAAATCATCTGACTGCTGCATAGGCATGTGTTAAGCAGAAACAAGATGCAAACCATAGATGGTATCAAATAGTATTCTGATCCCGAAATCCTTATTCAAGCATGATTCCTCTTAAAGTGAGTTAAGAACTGCCTTTAAGGACAGGAAGTGTTACTTGCTTAATAGTAAAGAACATGTTCAGAATGGCTTGTTTGTTTGCTCAGCCATCTATTTTCTATAACTGGCTTTTATTTTTGACATATTTCTTGCTCACATGACAACCATGTGGCTATAAATAGGGCGTATGAACCTCTGTGCTGCTGGATGGCGTCACATTACCACAGTTATTTTTTTATGGACTTGAAATCCCATGTGCATGCAGTATTCTGTGATTAAAAGAAAAGCAAGCAGGTTAGGGGATAAAAACAGGCTCTGAAATGAAAATGTCTCCTATCCTACTGTGTTTCTGTCATCCATTAACATGCTGTTGAAGTAAACAGAACATTACGATGTATTGGTGCGTTCAACAGCACAGCGGGTACATCCTGCTTGGGGTATTCAGTAGCCATCAAACACTTAGTGCTACCTAAATTACCTCCTTTCTTCTTTCCACAGAAAATAAGCTTAGAATGACCCGGCTCACAAAGCGTCTCCGAGTAGGTTAAGACGGTCTTCCCATTTATGATCATGTTAAGCTTGACATAAAGTTCCTTGATGTTGTGTCCTGCACACAAAGCAGAAGGAGAGCTTGGAGAAAGTGCAAGGGTAAACAGGTTTATTACCTTATTTTTAAAGATTGTATTTTTTTTCCCCTGCTGTTTAAGCCATTGAATGTTTTCACTGAGAACTTCTAATATATAGAAATTCATGCTTCAGGAACAGGTCTTTAAGTCCCTTAGAGTATATAAGGGGAGACATGATAGCATATATCTTTATTGTTAAATAAATACACCCATGACCATTCTCTAACTTTAAGACCACCTTGCATCATAAACCTGGTGTCTGCACATCTAAACTTTTCTTACTCTACTTAGCAGGGGGACCATATCCAATGCACCCCTGGGAGCAGACTGTGGCCTGTACCTGCTGCCTGGGAAAACAGGAACTGTCCCAAGCCAAACCTGTGCCAGGGACCAGCATAGCAGCTTGGCAGTGCTGGGAGGTTGCTTGCTAACATGGGTACAGCCAGTGAGGCTACTGGATTTAGAGGGAGATTCTGTACTCTGAGTTGTTGGTAAAGTATTTGCAAATGCCTGTAATGTGATTTTGCAGGCTTGCTTAACTTTACAGCCACCTGAAAACTGATGCTCCCAGGCAAAAGGGCAGCATGCCTCACAGGAGGGAGACCTTTTGTATGCAAGGAAGCATTCCCAAGTGCTAAAAGACACTTGGCACATAAACTTACTTTCAGCACTAGGAGCATACAGCAGTGCTCTCATATTTATGCTGTGGTAGCAGAGGTTCTTGGTGGGGCCAACAGGGTTGCAAAAAGGTGGCTTTCCTGTGCAAGGGTCACAAAGCAAGCTATGGCTAATATTAACTTGCACAACCAGCCCATTAGCTCAAATGCAATTCTGCTTTTGACCTTCTATTGCTGATCGGTCAAGTGCTGAAGGGCATAATTTCAGCTAGCACAGGTGCTGAGCTGATGGCATGACTGTGTTGCCTCAGGCTAATGCTTCCCCAGCACTCCCCCAGCATGCTTCTCTGCATGCCCAGGAGGGACAGAGAGGTGTCTCCACCTTGCTCTGTGTGAGTCCCTTCGGTCTCCTACCTGCAAGGGTCAGCCCTGGCAGTTTGATGAGCACTGCTGGTGCTGACATGAGACTGTGGGTGCTGTAGCTGTCTCATTCAACAAGATTCTCTGCAGAAGATTTAGCTGTGAAGACAAGCTTTAGAGCACCCCCACCTTGGCTATCCATATGTACTAATGAAGGGTAGGAGAGAAATAGAGGCTGAGGGCTGATATGACCTGCTTAGGGTGACATACACAGTCTGATGCCAAGCTGGTATCAGAACTGACATTTCTGTAGCCCTGCACAGTTTTTGAAGTTTCTCAGACGTGAAGCCCTTTCCTATTTTGTAGGGGGTTGTCACACTTGCTTACTTTATACCAGCACTCACACATGAGCTACCTGTTTACAGTGTGAGAAAATAGCAATTTACTTACTTAGCAAGATTGCAGCTCTGACATTAAAGGTGTGGCTTGGGACATCAGAACAATGGTCAATGCTGAAAGCAAAATCTTGGTTGGGATCTGTTTGGAGACAGAAAGTTGTATTTTTAATGAGATGCTGACTGTATAGAAGACAACAATAAAATATGGAAGTGTTGTAAAAACTAGATTACATATTCCTTAAAAATCTCCTGGATGTGCTCAAAGCTCCCATACCCTGTGTTTAATAACTACTTCTATCTTTCCTGCCACTTAAATCTGAAGCATGTTCAGATGATAGCCTATATATGGCTAAAACCTACTGTGTGGGGGGAAAAAGAGCCAAGTTCAGGGAAAGCAAGTTCTCCACAGTGGTGGATAGTCAGTACTCATTCAGCAGTGAAGTCTTCGCACAGCTGCTCTTCCCAGGATCTGTGGAGCACTATTCCTTCTTCAGCAGTGATGAGCAATTGGTTATGATGATGTTTGTTAATTCATTAATATCGCAAGATGGCTTGGTGAGGCTGATTGCAAAACTGAATCCTGAAGTGGGATGAGAAGTCCAAAGATTAAAATAAAATGTGCTAGCTGAGATCCTGCAGTATTTCATGCTGGGTCCACCATCATGTGATATTTATAACCCAGGAAATATTCTACATTTTTCCCTTTCCGAGAGACTGTAGTCAAAAGGAAGCCCTACAGCCCATGACTGACACGAATGTGGCTCTTACTAATTCCTACACTATCCATTTATCTGCATCAAGCTCCAAAACTCCTGCACAAAGAAAATTGCTTTCCCCCCACCTTTTTCCTTGCTAGCCTTCATGAGACATTTTGCTATGCCTGAAGGCTTGCTAAGGTGTCACTGTCTGGTGACAGGCAGCAGCGACAACTAACAGTTCTGCTCCCACAACCAAAGGCATGTGAAAGTGTTCCAGAACCATGGCTGGAGGAGAGAGATGTAGCTAGTTTGGAAAAGTACCATCTTGAGCCCTACGGCTTGATTTAGGCATAGGTTTGTCCCTCATCGTGGCTTTCCAGCCAGCCTGTGCATCCAATTTCCTTCTCTTTGGAAACCAGAGAAGAGACTGTGACATGCGCAGAAGCAGCTGTAGTCTCCCCAGTTTACACAGACTTGGGAATAGAATTGTTTTTAAGTTATTGTTGCTTGAGGTAATCTTCTCACTGAATTGAAAATAATAGGTTGGGAGAATTTTCCTTAGATGCTGTGGTAAAACTTGTCGCGAGTGTCCCTGTGACACTGGGGCTGAGCTAGCATCTCTGTAGTCTGATCCCATTTTTGCAGCAGTGTCCCACAGCTGTAGCAGATAGCAGGGAGCAATTGTGGGTGACTTAACGGGGAGCATGAACTGAGTGAAAGTGCTGGGAGAAGCTGTGGGCTTTAAGCCAGGCTCTGCAAGCACATGGATTATCAGTGTGGTCCAAAAGGAGCTCCTGAGTCTTAAGGCCTGGTACATTAAAATAACTATTTAAAGGAGGGAGATAAAAAGCACTAATATTTCCCACAGCTCTGTGTCCCTTGCTGGGTTTTGTCCTTCACACCACTAAAGCAGTCTCTGCATCTGCATGATCTGTCTGGGACAAAAAGTTGGTGCCTGCAGTTGTTTATCCACTCAAATATGACAAGAGTCAGAGGGTTGTCTTTCCTCCATTTCCATATTCTTGTCAGTTCTCATTTTGTTATTGCAGCTTCAGAAGCTGTTGCAATCGGGTAGGAGAGCAGTTTCCTGCTCCAGCTGGAAAGCTTGTCAAACTTCTCTTTTCTCCAGGACCGTTACGCCTGCTTCCCCTCTGGTGTCTACCACCTCTCAGGGCTTGGTTTCCGCTTTCCTCTGGACTTCTGCAAGAGCTGCTCTTGTTTCTGTTTTGTGTGTGGTATGATGATAAGGTCTAGGAAGCAATTGCTCAGATTCAGAGCAACTTGGGCATTGATGCCTACAAGCAGTGCTGGTTGTCAATGACTGAAATGGTCAGCTTTGTAATTTCCAAAGAGAGCTATGGTCACAAGTGGTGCTGCATCATATCAATGCTTTTCTCTTTTCAAAAAGACTAGCCTGCACTTTAGTCAACAAATTAAATCATGGTATTAGGGCTAGAAGTTCAATTTTTAGTTCATTCTCATTAATATCTGTTTGGATGGAAAGGGTATGTTCATGAAACCAAGCTTCTCTGGAAAGCATAGGCTTCTTGCAATGAACCTGACCTGGGTTGTTTTACTCTGGATGTCTCATGCCTATTGCATTTGGGGTTTTGTATGTGTGGTATGTTTTGGGTTTCTTTTCTATGGATTGAGCTCTTTTGTCAGATGACATATTTCATGGTGCATTGTAGACATGGGTGTTTTCTACTGCTAGTGATGCAGCATAGGACTTTGGTGTATCCAGAAAAGCATCGTTGTCTTGTCCCCAAAGAGGAAGAGAGCGAGGAAGCACTTACATGAGAAATTACAGCAGAATTTGTGAATTAGAGCACATGGATTTTGTGTTGTTACTCTGTTGCTGAGGAATGTAAACTTTTCCACTGGCAAAAGAACACCAATTAATTTTCTGGCCATCTCGCTGTGGAAATTCAGGCTGGCTTTGCAATCCAACATCTTAGATATTGTGATATGTATGGGGGCCTTCTGCTGAAATCAGTTGAAAGGATGGCAGTGTTGCTAAAGCAATGGTGCCAGGGGGTCTGGATTCTAAAAAAATGTAGTCAGAAAGGTTGCTGCTAAAAGGAAATTAAATAAAGTAGTGGGGGTTTTTAACCATTTGGTAACTGAAGATGTGTGTATATTCAGCTGTGCACTATGAACTAAGGTAGTGTGCTATACCCATCTTTTAATGTTGAGGAGTTCCTCGTGTGGCAAAGGCAACTCGAGGCAATTGCCATTTTTGTTTTATCTCAGATACACAACTGTGAGTCACTGTGTGTCTCTTATGGAGGTTTAATACTTATTCTTCCTTGTTTGCCTCAATCTGAATTGAGCTGCTTAGACTGAAAAAAAAAATACATGTTATGTCTTTCACATGTGCAGAGCAATAACATTTACCGTTAAATCTCTAAAATACGTGGGGCTGCCCTTCAGCCTTCCACTTCCCTGCAACGTTTCATAGTGCACAGTACTGTATGTTCCCAGACTTCCCTCCACCCACTCCCTTCAATCTGCTCCCTCTTCCATAATTAAAGCTAGAAACTCTTCAACTGGTTGCAGAGTTCTGCTTTTCCAGTACAGCTTTGATATATTACCAACACTCACAATGTTGCTGGAAATTTTGCAAACACGTTGAGGTTTATCAGTGAAAATCTGCTTATTGGGGTGGGGGGAAGAGAAAGGGCATTTTTTTGGTTTCCGTTTCTAGTGAGAAGGGTTGGGGCTGCAACATACGTTACAGCTAGCACGAAGGTTCTTGAGAGCAGCATTTTGTCTCAAGTTTCTCTCTAGCCAGTTCTAAATCTTTCAGGTAACTGCTCTGAGAAAGAGGCTTTTGTAAATGATCAGTGAACTTTCGGATCTCTTAGACCTGTTATTTGAACTTGATGCTGTGGCTGATGCTGAGCTTTCAACTGTTATCTAGCACTGAATGTACAGCTCCCACTGAAGACTGGCTTTTGTAGTACAGACCTGATTTGTGAGATACAAATTTGGGACATACCTGGCATCTTCTCACTGATCACCCCTTACACGGTATATTGCCAGCTGACCCCATGCATCCCACCTCTCATTTCACCCTTACCCAAGTACCCTAATGAAGATTTATTGCTACGTTGTCTTGGTATGTCGTTTTCCTTGCATATGACCTGTGGTGGCACCACAGTTCAAGATTTCAGCCTGGATTACTATTGTGGAGTGCTCACAGTGATGAATTTGTCTGGGCTTTTCTAGAAGACTGAGCAGATGCATGTAGTACAGCCTGAAAGCTCAAATGAGCTCCTGAATGCTTTTTCCTAGAGTTTCTTTTCCTGCTCCTGGCAGAAGGTTCATAGGTAACTTAGCTCAAACATATTTACAGTGGTGTATCTAAGTGACCCTCCTGGCTTCAAGCCTTGTGCCTTTGATGGAGATTATTACCTTGGTAACAGGGACAACAGACGGGAATACACTTTGATGCCTCAGTTATTGCAGT